TGGCCCAGGATCGGGCAGTGTTTCTTTCTGCTGTGTGTAAGGTTGCTAGGGGTCAGGACCAACTCAATGGCACCTAGCAACAACAACAACAACAACAACCAGAGGTTCAGGCTGGATTCAGAAGAGGACGTGGAATGAAGGATATCATTGTTGACGTCAGATGGATCTTGGCTGAAAGCAGAGAATACCAGAAAGGTATTTACCTGTGCTTTAGGGACTATGTGAGGATTATGACCAGCTATGGGCAACATTGCAGGAATTGAGTATTCTGGAACACTTAATTGTGTTCGTGAGGAACCTGTACATAGACCAAAAGGCAGTTGTTTGAACAGAACAAGGGAACAGTGAAAGGTTTAAAATTAGGAAAGGTATGTGCTTGGGTTGTATTCTTTTACCATATTTATTCAATTTGTATGCTGAACAAATAATCTGAGAAGATGGTTTATATGAAGAAGAACATGTTATCAGGATTGGAGGAAGATTCATGAACAACCTGTGATATGCAGATAATACAACCTTGCTAGCTGAAAGTGAAGGGGACTTAAAATATTTACTCATGAAGATCAGAGACTACAGTCCTCAGCATGGGTTGCACCTCAATGTAAAGAAAGCAGAAATCCTTAGTACTAGACCAATAAATAACATCCATATAAATGGAGAAAAGATTGAAGTTGTCAAAGACTTCATTTTGCTCAGATCAACCATCAACAGTCATGGAAGCAGCAGTCAAGAAAGCAAGTAATGTATTGCATTAGCCAAATCTGCTGCACAAGACCTTTTTAAAGATACAAGAGCAAAGATATCAGTTTGAGGACTAAAGTGTGCCTAACCCAAACCAGGGTATTTTCAGTAGCCTCACATGCTTGTGAAGGCAGGACAGTGAATAAGGAAAACTGTAGAAAAATTGAAGCTTATGAATTATGGTATTGGAGGAGAATATTAAAATACCACAGACTGCCAAAAGAACAAACACATCTGTATTATTACAAGTATAGCCAGAATGCTCCTTAGAGGCCAGGATGGCCAAGCTTCGTCTCTCATATTTCAAATCAGGAGGGACCAGTCCCTGGAGAAGGACATCATGCTTGGTAAAGTAGAGGGTCAGTGAAAAAAAGGAGGGCCTCCAATGAGATGGGTTGGCACAATGGCAGCAGCATTGGGCTCAAGCATAGCACCGATTGTAAGGTTGGCCCAGGACTGGACAGTGTTTCGCTCTGTTTTGCATAGGATCGCTATGAGTAGGTGTGGACTGGACAGCACTTAACAACACTACCATCTGTGAGTCTTGGTGTGGTGCTGTAGGACAAAGTCTCGACTGCTACGTGCAAGATCTGCAGTTCCAATCCGCCAGCTGCTCCTTGGCAACCCTATTCAAGGCTGTTATGAGTCAACTGACTTGATGGCACTTAACAACAACATCTGATTGAACAAGGAGTCCTGGTGGTACCGTGGGCTAGCTTTGGGCTGCTGACCATCAGGTTGTTGCTTCCAACCTACCAGTGGATCCATAGAAGATAGATGAGCCTGTTACTTGCATGAAGATTTTCAGTCTTGAAATCTTTATATGTTCTTGTGTGTTTGGAGCCCTGGTGTGGTGCTATAGGATAAAGCACTGGACTGCACGGTTGGTTTGAACCACAGCTGAGCCACAGGGAAAGACAAGACTGCTGCCATAAAGCTGTGTAGTCACAGAGACTTTCTGCAGGGGTCGCTCTAACTCAGAACTGACTCGATAGCAGTGGGTTTCGTTTCTTAATCTATGTGAACAATTTACAGAGTCTCTTATAGATCTCTTATAGTGGTTACGAATTGAGCTGAGAACCTTAAGGTCAGCAGTTCGAAACTACCAGCTGCTCCGCGGGAGACAGATGAGGCTTACTGCTCCCATAAAGATTTACAGCCTCAGAAGCCCTGTACAGGGTCGCTATGAGTTGGAACCGACTCGACGGCACTTAACAACAACAACAACAGCTTACAGATCTGCCTTATGGGTGTTTGCAGTCAATTTTGGGATGGAACAGTGAATCACAAATTAACAAACCTTACCCACCTTGCATCCCAAACGAATTCCATTTGTTTCCTTAGTACGCTTGTACACCAAACATATGAGTGAGCTCAGTATGGAACCTAATGTTCCTGCCAGCCGGCCGGAGTCTTACACATCCTCTTAGAATGTACGTCTTGGTTGAAACACACTTTTATCTAAAGCATCTGTCCATTGCAGGGTTTTTTTCTTGAATGCATATGGTCACTGGAGATCATAGATGTTGCAACTTAAATATAGATTCGTCACAGAGTGTCACAGAGAACCGCTTCATTTTTTTTTCTTTTTAAGTTTTTATTATGAATTGAGTGAAAGTTTACAAGACAGATCATCAGTTTTACATTCAACAAATCATACCCTTTGTTTCATTACAATGATTGAGAACGACTTCATTTTGATGTAGATAAACTGCTGGCCAGCTGACTTCTCTTCACTGTTGCCCTGCCCTGTAGATTCACAGTATTGACCTTGTGTTTGGTGTTTTCAGGTGGTTTACATCTTGGAGAAAAAGCATTCCCGGGCAGCCACGGGCCTCCTCAAGCTCTTGGCTGACAAGAACAGTGAGCTGTTTAGGAAATATGCCCTGTTTTCCCCCTTGGACCATCGAGTGCCTAGAATTTATGTGCCTCTCAAGGACTGCCCCCAAGACTTTGTGACCCGGCCTAAAGATTACGCCAACACGTTGTTCATCGGCCGCATCGTGGACTGGAAGGAGGACAGCAATTTTGCCCTGGGGTAGGTGGTCTCTGGCAGGAGAAACCATGGGTCCCAGGCAGAACTTGAGGTGGCTTCTGGGTCACCTTTTATTTATTAAAGCATGGGGCCTGATTCTTCAGAAATCGCCTTTCACTATCACCTCAAGTGACCACTTGTCAGTTCTTGAGTTCACAGCTGTTACCTTTAGTGTTTGTGTCTTGGTGTGAGCACATTGTGAACCCCTGTCTTACTTCCTTTTGTGTCGTGAATGTGAATCCCTTTTGTACTTGTGTACCACTGAGAATTCATGGCATCTGACAAGCAGAGCCCTTCTTCAAAGTCTCATGGTCAAATATGCAAAACTCCAAGTGTTTGTGGGGGTGGGAGTGAGGGGTAGCCCCAGTCTCTTTTGCTTTAACATATGAATATGAAGGTATTTTGGAATGATTTGCCTATTTGATGTTGATCATAAGAGGTTTTACCTTTGGCTTTAAAAATTAAATTACCTTGCTGTAAGCACAAAAAAAAGGAGTCCTGGGTTAGTGCACCAGACTGCAAAGCTGTTTGAACTGCAGGGTCAGTGGTTCAAGCTCCCCAGCTGCTCCTTGGAAACCCTATACAGGGGCGCTATGGATTGGAACAGACTCGGGGGAATTAACAACAAAGCACAAAAAGGTTCCTCTGGAAGCTGCTAGAAACCTCTGTAACTGAAATGAAGATACAGAGTGTCATAGTTGACTGGTCATTTTGAGCTGAATTAAGTGCTGGACCTCTTATCTTCTCGCAAGTGGTATTTTTTTTTTTTTTTCTTTTTTTTTAAAAGCAACATTAAATCTCAGCTGTGTCTTTACTTCTTGTTGGGTTTTTTTGTTAAGTGCCATCAAGTCAATTTCAATTCATAGCAATCGTGTATAGGATTTCCGAGGAGTGGCTGATGAATTTTACTGCCCTTTATAATTGCTGGTGTCTGGTTTATGCGTCACAAGAAAATGAAATAAAAGGATATGAGCTAGAAAAGAGTTTGTTCTGACATTTGCTTTTAGTCCAGTGTGGTGACCTGCTTGCCAGTCATCTAACGTGGGCAGGATGGACCTTCTGGGAATGTTCTCGGGTTCCGAGGGTGGATGCTGAAGGATTGGCCCCAATGTGCTTCTTTTCTAAGATTTATTGTACACTTTGCCTCGTATGCCTAGTGAAGTAAGCCACGTCAGGTCTGTGTGTCATACCCAAGGCAATTTAAACAACACCACCCTGTTTCACATTCTCAGCTGTCTGAAGAGCAGTGTCCGATCTGTGATCTCGGAGCTGCTCTGAACCTACCCTTTTCTGCTCTTACGTGGTATGATTGCAGCATCATCATTTTTACACCTAACTCACTATCCAGAAGTGAATTTAACCCCATAAGCTCTAAATAGACCTTCTCTGAAGCCTGCCAGCTTCTCACCATCAAATGAAATGGCCGCTAATGGCCGTGCCCCCCAGTCCCTGTTAACTGTGCTTACCTCCAACCCGGAAACCTGCCTTGCCTCTTATCTGCCTATCTGTCAGACCTCTTTGTGCACACTTGATTGGACTACTTCCTTAGTTTTCAAGTGGTGAGGGTGTAGTCAGGAAATCTCCCTGGTGTGAATTTCGTCTGTTTCTTCAATGGCCTTCCTGGCTCCTTTTCACAGCTGAGCAATTACTTCATCAAGTCCCCCCTCCCCATGCCTCCTTCCACCACCACCCTCACCCTCCACCCCCTCGCCTGCCCATGGCTCAACTTTCAGCCAAGCAGTAGACAGGTCTGTAAGATGAACAGTCATACCAGGGAGGTGCGTACTCCTTAGAACAATCAACATTCTGTGGGTTCAGAAGAGCAGCATTTGCCCAGTGATAAAGCTCAGAAAGCAGGATGGGATAGGAAAGAGGAAGGCATGGAAACAGGAAGTCCAGGCAAGAAGTAGGAAAAGTTCTGATGAATTGAGGGATTGCAATCAAGGTCGAGAATCAAGATGTGTGTGAATTTTTGACGGGAGTATCCATTTGCTCTGTAAAGTTTCACCCTGTAAAAAATCACAAGAAAAAGTTTAAAAGGAAAAAGCTATGACTGCTTTCTTCTCATGGGTTAATTTACTACAAAGGGAGTGAGTGATGCCTTTGAAGCCGCAAGTACATTTGCATCAACAGAAAGAGTCTGTTAAAATAATTTGCTGTTTTTATGTTAATTCTAGAATTATCATATATCTACATATATTAATATATTAGTCATATAATGAATCATGTAATTTTTTCAAAAGATAAGGATTCTCATATTTAGATGGAAAAAGGAATGAATTTTTTTCACAATATCCTTAATATAAAGACATTAGCAGTCTTTAATAGAAATAGGCCTTTTTTAAAAAATCTTTGCACAAAAGACAAAAAAAATTATTTTAAGCAGTAAGAAATGGCAGGTTTTCCTGGTGCAGTTCTCAGCTGACCTCTGTCTCCCGAGGGTGAGGGCTGCAGCTGTTGAGCGTGTTGGTGGTCGCCTTGCCATTTTGTTCTGGCTATCAGTTACCGATCTTTAGGAATTGAGGTCACTGGTTCCCAGTCAACATGCCGTGTGCTGACTGCCTGGGTTCCCTCTCTCCTCTGTGCCAGGTTTTGACCAGACATGTGAAGGTAGGACTTGCTCTGGTGTGAGTGTGTGTGACTGCTCTCTACCACAGCGACTTCCTTCTGAATTGCTTCCTTGCCCTTCCCCACCGCTCCCTTTAAAAATATTGAACTTCCTCTGTCTCCTGTAAGTAGGGGAGGGTCCATTACTGAAGAAGGACATCATGCTTGGTAAAGTGGAGGGTCAGTGAAAAAGAAGAAAACCTTTAAGGAAATGGATGGACACAATGTCTGCAACAGTGGACTCAAACACAGCAATGACTGTGAGGCCGGCCGGCGCAGGCCAGGCAGCAGGCCGCTCTGTGGTACACAGGGTTACTAACAACAACAACAACAGCTCACTCCAAAGTCATTTCCTTCTTCTGTAGCTAAATTCCGTTTACTAGACGTGTATTGAACTATTATTGTATGAGGAGCACTGTGGGTTAACATGCTGTGCGTTCTTTATTCAAGGAGATGATAGAAGGACTGTACGTGAATGTCACAGGGATAATATGATTGTAGGACATGAAATACCACTTGACCTAATTTAAATCAAAGTGGGGATTAATATGAGAAACTGGTGATTCTCTTGGAACCCAGGGCAGGAAATAGAGGGAGGTCTCAGGAAGAATTCCGAACTAAAATGGCAGCCAAGGTATCACAGTTTCACATGTACGTAAGAAAAAGATTGACTAAAATGCAAATACTAGTAGAATATATGATGAAAGTAGCTTTGGAAGCACCATTGATCTTGGCCTCCCCTTCAGTGTCAAAGGAGCCCTGGTGGCACTGTGGGTTAGGCTGCTAACTATAAGCTTGACAGTTCAAATCCATTAGCCAATCCATGAGAGAAGGATGAAGCTGTTTGCTCCTTGTCAAGATTTACAGTCTTGGAAACCCAGTGTAGGGTTACTATGAGTCGGGCTCATCTCGATGGAAGTGGAGTTTTCAGTGTCAGTGTTGCCTCTGTTGCACCCCTAATGGCGCCTACAATGACGAAGAGCTCAAAAAGAAGTATAGTATTCAAGACCTCCATTTATTACAAAACTATTTTCCATCTTGTTTTTAGAACTATATATTTCATATCTTAGTTGAGCCTTGTTCAACTCTGTATACATAATAACTACTTATTTTCACGATTCTTTGTCCTGTGATACTACAATAACAACCCAAGCTCTGTGTTTGATGGCTGTTAACAATCAGTGCTTTTGTGATACGTCGCAATGTAGCTAGTTCTTTTCATAGTATTGTAAATCTTGTCCAGGATGGTTTAAAAGCCGTATTGATTTTCTCACCAGAAATAATTTACATTTATGTAGTCAGATCTATAGTTTAAAGAGTTTTCTAACCCTTTTACATGATCTTTCTCTTTACACACTCTTTCATTGGAATCTGTGCCTGTCTTTTCTCAGAACCTTCTGAAATTTGCTGTCCTAAAGTATAGAGTCTACAACTCTAGCTTTCCCCCAAGATGTTATAAGCAAAGAAAACATCAGGGTCACTTTTTCTTAGACTGCTCATGGTTTCTTCTTGAATATTTAAGAATAAGTCTTGAAGAAAATAGAAAAGTTTTACATTCACTACTGTGCGGAGCATAATACTGTTTCTTGGCAACCCTGAGGCCTAACTGAAGATATACAACATGGATTAACCTAGAGCAAATGGACATACTGGTGTTATTTTCTCCAGCAAACTTTGATGGCTTTGGAGAGTAGGGAATGAGTAGGCCAGGACATATATAACAGGGTTGAGATTTTTGATTGATCATGGGTTGTATAGATTTAATGGGAAACTCGAAATTAACAATAGGGAATGGGTCATAGTACTGATAGTCTCCACAAGAGCGGAGAGCATCAGGTTCCATTGGATTGACTGACAAGGTGAGGTGAAAGGAGGAGAGGGAAGCTCAGGCTAATGATGTGTGTGGTGGAAGAGGTCGTGGTTCAGGTGGGGACTCTGCTTTAGCATTCCCCCATCTCCCCCATCTCCAGACTGTGTACCTTATATTTGGTCAGTTGTCAGACTAATACTGGTTGACTGATAGAAATTAATGCATTTCCTCTTCCATTCAGTTTTGCTAAATACTGAATTTTTTATGTTGTAGATATAAATTGGAGAGGTGGTCAACATTTCATTGTATCTAGTAGGAAAAGAAAACTGTTCTAGGCAGGTAAAAAAACAAACCAAACCGGTTTCATTGAGGCCTAGCCTACAAGATTAGCAAAGTGAAGACTAGCTCTAGCTCAGGTTTTCTATACACAAAAGGGGGTTTCACCTTTTCAAGTACCCTGCCAAGGTCTAGTGGCTGTGAGGAATATTATGCTAGGAGCTTGTGTTAGCAAGCATAGACTTTGTCAGCTACTTCCAGGGGCCTTGGTCCTAGGTGAGTGATAAGAGAGAAGCCATTCCGGCTGAGG